TTGTTCCTTTTTGCTGATGCCCCTTCGTTGGGGGTCTTGCTGGCACCCACCCCCCCAAGAGCCGCCCCTGGGAAAGGGGCCTGAGCTGGTGGGTCGGCGGAGTCAGTGGCGTCGGCAGAGCCTCGTCCCGGAAACACAGGAGCCAGAGACAGGTCCCAGGTTTCTGCAGAGGGAGTCCCTTCCAGGCCCCTGGGTTCCTGTGTCCGTGTCCCTCATTCCACGGCGCTTCCCTCATTCCCGCCGAGGGGCCTGTGCCGCCTCCACAGTGTGAGCAGGAGGCGGAGGTGAAGGCCCAGGCCTCTGAGGTCAGAGATGAGGGTTGGGTCTGAGCACCATTTGCACCCGGAGCCCTGGGCCCGGCCCTGTCTCTCTGAGTCCCCACCTCCCAGTCTGTGGAATGGGGGCAGGAATGACCCAGCCCGCCCCCTGCAGGCAGGTGGGTGTAAGTGCACATGGTGGGGAGCCCCTCCAGGTGCTCAGGGGTGACAGTGCCCCTCCCGCACACCCAGGGGCCCAGAGTTCCCCTGAGAGGCTCCCTCTGGAATGTGTGGGTGCAAACAGCTCCCCAGGCAGAGGGGACACAGGTCACGGAGGCTCAGAGGGCTCTGCCCGCGTGGGGAGAGGCTGCAGGTCAGCTCTCTGGGGGGCAGAGCGACAGGGAAAGAGATGCGCTTTGGGGGGGCGCCCACTTCTATGGAAATTCCCGCGGGGGGCGGGGGGCGGGGGAGGCGGCTCCTGGACCAGAGAGGGGACGGGACTGCTCTGTGGAGCTGGGCTAGCCCCTCCCTCCCCTGGGCGGAGAGAGCACAGAGGCAGCCAAGCAATGGCTGGTTGATCCCGCTGTGTGGGGGTGGCCCCCTGTGGGTGTTGGAGGAAACCGCAGCCCAAGATCAGTTTGCTTTTCTCTTTCTCTTTGGGAGCAGCCACAGCAGCTGTGAGGTCAAGAGTGAGTGCGTCTGTCCCGCCGTCCATCTGTCCTGCCGGCCGGAGTCCCGAGGCCGCGGTCAGGGAATAGGGTCCCGGGTGGACATGCAGCCTCTGCCCGGCTGGGGGCCACCCCCCTGCAGCCCGACGCCCGCGGCTGACGTCCTGAGGCTGGTGAGTCCGGGGTCGGTGTCGCCCAGCAGCCCAGCCCCCTCTGGGGGAGGAACTGGGTGTCTGTGCCTGGGAGGGAGGCCGTGCACAGCTTCCTGTTTCATTTCCTGTTTTCTTTTTCTTTTTCTTTTTTTTCCTGCATCATTTCCATTAGTTCAAGAGCTGTCAGCTCATAAGTCCCGTGGTTACTACTCAGGGGCAGCTCTGACTGGCAGGCCTGCCCTTCCCTGCCCTCTGCATCCCTCCGCCTCCCGGTCACCCTCACCAGCCCGCCCTGTGCCCCAGCTTGCCAGAGGGCCCGCCCCAATTTCGCCAGCCAATCCTCATAGAGGAAGGCCCATCCCCACCCACCTGCTCCAGCCAGTCCTCACTCAGGCCTGAAGGGCTCACCGCCCAGGAGGGAGGGGCAGGTCCCAGCTCCGCAGACACTTCAGTTCCTTTTCCTGTCCAGGAGCCGCCTCCCCCGCCCCCCGCCCCCCGCGGGAGTTTCCATAGAAGTGGGCGTCCCCACAAAGGGCAGAGCTGTTGCTGCCCTGACCCAGTGGTTCCCAGGGCTCGGGGTCCAGCACAGGGAGCAGCGAGGCTGAGTTTGTTGGGTCAGAGCAGCCCTGGCCTTCCCAGGGGCGGGACCTCACTCTCCAAGCCCAGGGGTTCAGAGGTCACACACAGGGTGGTCCCAAACCCAGGCTCTTAGGATCCTCAATAGAGGATCCTGAACATACCCTGTTCATGGATTGGTAGAATCAACATCATTAAAATGTCCATACTACCCAAGGCAATCTACAAATTCAACGCACTTCCCATTGAAATACCAACGGCATATTTCACAGACCTAGGACGAACTCTCCAAAAATTCATCTGGAATAAAAGAAGACCCCAAATAGCTGCAGCGATCCTGAGAAAGAATAACAAAGTAGGTGGGATCTCAATACCAGATATCAAGCTGTATTACAAAGCCACTGTTCTCAAAACTGCCTGGTACTGGCACAGGAACAGACATATAGATCAATGGAATAGAATAGAGAACCCAGAAATTGACCCGAACCAATATGCTCAATTAATATGTTAAAAAGGAGGCAAGAATATACAATGGAGTCAAGACAGTCTCTTCAATAAATAGTGCTGGGAAAATTGGAGAGATACATGCAAAAAAAATGAAACTAGACCACCAACTCACACCATACACAAAAATAAACTCAAAATGGATAAAGGACTTAAATTTAAGATGGGAAACCATAAAAATACTGGTGGAATCCAAAGGCAACAAAATCTCAGACATATGCCGAAGCAATTTCTTCACCGATACAGCTCCTAGGGCACTTGAAACTAAAGAGAAAATGAACAAATGGGATTCCATCAAAATAAAAAGCTTCTGCACAGCAAAGTAAACCATCAATAAAACAACAAGAAAGCCCACTGCATGGGAGAACATATTTGCCAATGTTATCACCGATAAGGGTTTAATCTCCAACATTTACAGGAACTCATACAACTTAACAAAAGGAAGATAAACAGTCCAATAAAAAAATGGACAAAGGACTTAAATAGACACCTTTCAAAAAGAGGACATTCAGAAAGCCAAGAGACATATGAAAACATGCTCAAAGTCACTAATCATCTGAGAGATGCAAATCAAAACAACAATGAGGTACCATCTCACACCTGTCAGAATGGCTATCATCAACAAAGCCACAAACGACAAGTGCTGGAGAGGATGTGGAGAAAAAGGAACTCTCGTGCACTGCTGGTGGGAATGCAGACTGGTGCAGCCACTATGGAAGACAGTATGGAGGTTCCTCAAAAACTAAAAATGGAACTCCCATTTGACCCATTGATCCCACAGAAACCAGAAACACCAATCAGAAAGGATATATGCACCCTATGTCATAGCAGCACAATTCACCAGAGCTAAGATTTGGAAACAGCCTAAGTGCCCATCAGCAG